ATTTGAATCTTCATGGTTATAAAATACTTACCTCATGAATTCCCAGACTACAGGCTATATAGACAAAAGCATCGGTCATACAATATGCTTTCATTTCACAGTCTTTTAAGAAGCTAGCATTTGATCAAGTGCTTTCTTATGATTGTGCCAAGGTGAGTAACCCTGTTCTAATCTTTTCTACTGTCTCTTCCTGTAATGAGCAGGGAAAAGAGCAAGAATAAGAGTAAAAGGCAGGTCATCTTAGTGGGCAGTTGAGTCTCCCAGGGTATTCACTCCTTGAGGATATTTTCTTACTGGTTGGTTTTGCTTTCTCTGGGATGTCTTGGTACCTTCATAGTTTCCTGAATTCTCTACTTTTAAAAAAAATACATTCTTACCCAGTTTCTATTTATTATGTAGACCCAGCCTAGGCAAATGCCCGGGAAAATGTTTGGTCACCTGGAGTTCTACAGCTCTTATTTTCAGTTAACTACATGCAAATTAATTCTCACCATTAGTAATAACTATAAGCAAGTATGCAAAATACCTTGAAGCATTAAGCATAATATATGAATCAGTAAGAAAACTACTGTATTTTGAAAGAGCTCCTACTAGTATGTGTCCGTGTCTGCATTTCTTGGGCATAAAATAGGGAAGCAGGGACAGTTCTTGAGCTATCGGGAGTCTGTGTGGTTAATATGGAATGTGGTTAAGATTCATGGATGTAGAGGAAATATTTTCACCTTGGAACCTGATAAGAAGATGCTTGGCCCTGCAGGGAGAATTGTAAAACTCACTCTTTCCCCCTTGCCATATAGCCACAGAATTTAGGCACAGAGCAACCAGCCTCTCCCCACCTGTGTTAGGTATACTTTATATGGTCCAATGGTACTTTCCTCTTTGTTCCATGACCTTAATGAAGACTTCCATGCCTTCAACAGTTTGATTCTGAAAGCTACAATTCAATAAGCATCATTTACATTATAATAAGTGTGGCATATTTTTCATGCAGCCCCTAGTATGAGCTAGGATTACATTTCTCTCCTATAGTTCCAATGTCCCCACCACTCTGACACGTAGGGAGAATGTTGCAATGATTTCCTCCTATTTACACCCCATTTTAATTTTCATGGTATCTTTGAAACATGCTTTCTTTGCATCACTGATTTGTCTTTTTTCTTATCACTTCCTCCCTTTCTCCCTTCTTTCCTTCCATTTTATTAGGATTCTGATTGCCTTTATTTTTTAACTTGTTAGGAAAAGACACATGTTCTTATAGCTTCCCGGTTCTTACCTACTTAACATTTCATTTAGAAATGATTCCATTGTCTTTTATGTCACTGCTTCCTGTTTTAAAGTGGTGACTGGTTGGTTTTGCTTTCTCTGGGATGTCTTGATAACTTCATAGTTTCCTGAATTCTCTACTTTTTAAAAAAATATATATTTCTTTATTGATTTCAGAGAAGAAGGGAGAAGGAGAGAGATATAGAAACATCAACGATGAGAGAGAATCATTGATAGGCTGCCTCCTGCACACCCCCTACTGGGGATTGAGCCCACAACCCAGGCATGTGCCCTTGGCCGAAATCAAACCTGGGATCCCTCAGTCTGCAGGCTGACGTTCTATCCACTGAGCCAAGATGGCTAGGGCTGAATTCTTTATGTTTATTTAAACCTCAAGCTCTTCAAACATCTCATTCATTCTCTTCTTTGCTATGGCATCTGTGCAGAAATCCCTTTTGAGCCCTCCATCCTTCTGCTTCCTCCAGACTGGTGGCTTTCTGTTTGTGCTACATTACACTTTTGATCGCTTCCTCTCACTGCTCTCCTGGATCGGAACCACTATTTTGTAGATGCCATATTCAGTGGTGTGCAGGTGAACATTTAACAATAGTCTCCCATAACAAATAAACAAAACCCTTATTGTTAGCCTTTCTCAGCATTCATAGTAAATAGCCCCATAAAGGCCTATGTCCAGTTCCCGACTTGAGGTCGCTGGCCTTGAAGTTGGGAAGAGATGCATCTGATCCATGTTCCCAGGCCTGTGCCGGCAGCCTCACTGCACCATCGATGAGGACTATCTTGACACAGAGATTTCTAAAAGATACTCATACTTTTTCTGAGTTAACAAAGCAAACAGGATATCATTTCATTTAACTTTATGGCTATGGGCCATTATTATTAATGTCAAGCTCTCAGGCAAAAAGTGATGTCTCTCTAGTTATGATATTCAGGAGAAGATAATTGCCTATAAACGAAATACCTAAATAGCTTCACATGAAAATTAGATTAAACATTAAGTAGCCTTAACCGGGTGGCTCAGTTGGTTGGAGTGTTCTGTACAGCAAAAGGTTGTGGGTTCAATCCCTGGTCAGGGCTCACAAGGAGGCAACCAATGGATGTTTCTTTCTCATGTCTCCTTTCCTCTCTCTCTCTCAAAATCAATAAAAACATATCCTCAGATGAGGGTTTAAAAAATTAAGTGAAAATTTCAATACTACAATATTTTGTTTATTTTTGGCAGGCTTTTTATTGTCGTTAGTTGTCTTTTTAAGATACAGTACTCAAATCTAGTTAATGGTTTGTATATTTTTATAGCTGAGTCTTGCCTGACCCTCAATATTATCTCCCCTTTTGATTTTCTTCATAGCCTTGTGTTTGTGCCTTTATTTCAAGCCACTGTAGTCCATTTTTAAGTGTTATCAGGGAACAAATATTAATAGAGAGATATAGTGTCTTCAATAAAGAATGAGTATTTTTCCAATAAGTGGTGTTAATTTGGCCTCTCTTTCATTATGCATGTTTCCTTTAACATCATAAAAGAGAATGCTATCCATGCATTTTCTGACAGAAAAAAAAGATGTTTTTTTCTCTGTTTGAAAAGTTCACTTTAAAGGTTTTTGTGATGCACGGCAGCTTTAAAATGCGGTTGCTTTTCAAAATGAATTGCCTGCAGCTGCTCTTTTGGTTTTCTTTATTTTTTCTCTGAACACATCCATCCTGTTTGGACATTAAAGAAAGAACAAAACTGCGTATTTACATCACTGATGGGCCAATAAATAAAATGCTGCATTTTTTAAGGCAAAGTTCCTGGGAACTAATTAGAGTCACAAGCTGAGACAAACCAGGGATTGAAAATACAGTGGATGCTGTTGCTTATCCTGCTGATTTTTTTTTTTTTTTAGCTATTTCTGTGCATCTTCTCATTTGTGAGTGCAGGGCATGATGACAAATCACTTGATGATCAGGAAATATCCATGAAATGAATGTGGTTCTGGCTGGTTGTCTGTAGGCATTTGCTCTTTTCTCATCCACAGCTTACTGAAGGTGAATCTTAACCAAGGTAGATTCAGCTTACTGGACAGTGGACATTTCTTTATGTCCAAGGAAATTAAAGCTATTCAGGCACACACCTGCCACATAACTAGAAACATACCTAGGGTGCCATTTTCACTTCAAATCTGCAGTTTCTGGTGCCATAATTATGGCTAATGGTTGGGTCATTTTATTAGAATTACTATTTTCTCAAAGTCAATCTAGAAAAATGCTTAAAATGTGTGAGATTAGTGTCCAAATACAGCAGGTGGAATTATAACATTTTTAGACATAGAATACAATAAATATCATGTGTACATGATAATAACATTGTTGGCATTTGGCATTCACTGGACTATTCAAAATTCATCTCTTACATCATAAATGCTTTAAGTGTATCTTTTAAATACATTTTAGAATTATTTAAAATGTAGTTGTGTATCATCTATAATAATTGTAAGGGTTCGCGGCGCAGGAGATGGAGTCAGAGAGTCAAGCAAGTCAGAAAGGAGGAAAAGAGAAGCTTTAATCTGCGTGCCCAGGCGAGATCCACCAGTCCCAAAGAGCAGGGCCAGTGAAGTCACACCAACAGGGAGCGGAGGCATTTTTTTTATACAGCTGTTCAGTGAGGGGCGGGGGCATGAGCTGTGGGAGTTCCCGCCGCAGGCGGGTCCGTCACAGGTTCCAGGAAGAAGTCTCTGTCACCATCTGTCTGGCACGCTGACCTGTTAGGAATTCCAGGGAGGGTCGAGTATCTGCGCCACCATTTACCAGGTGCGTTGACCTGTTAGGAATTCCAGGGAGGGTCCAGTATCTGCGCCACCATCTACCAGGTGCGCTGATCTGTTAGGAATTCCAGGAAGGGCCCAATATCTGCCCCACCATCTGCCTTGTGTATGCATGGGCTCCTGGACTTCCCTCCGACCTAACAATAATGAAAGCGTAATATGCTAATTAGACTGCACGTTTTTCCAGATATCTTCCAGATGAAGCTGGGGCTGCAAGGGAAGCCCGGGACCCAGGTGCCAGAGGGAAGCCGGTGCCGGCAGCCGGGGGAAGGAAGGCCTACTCTTGCACAAATTTCGTGCATCGGGCCTCTAGTGCAAATATAATAAACTGTGGCATGTCTAAAATTGTTATGGCCCTATTGTTTTTATTTCAAAAAATTTCACCTAATCAAGATGAATTTTCATATAGGTGTATGATCTCAATAAAATATGATTCAAAGGGACTCTCTAATTCTAGTTTTACATGAGGGCATTGAGCCCAGAGTAAGTAAACAAGTAAGCTTCATTGTGAAAAGTGGTTAGTCATTAGCATCAATGACAGTCTAATGAAAGGAAAAAAACAAAACAGAAGATATGATTATTTATGTTTCACAGAGGAAGGAAGGGATGGTAGGAGGGTTGTTTACCCAAAACAATACTAGTTTTAGTATTGCCAGTCTGGAGTTATTCCAAATATGTTATAGTAAGCCAACCATTTTACTAAAACTAATGATAAATTGATATCATAAAATGTAGTGTCATAAAATATCTGTCTAGATTTTCTACTATAGAAAATGATTTAGGGAGGATCGCTCTCCAGATAGGTTTAAAATCCATTTATATTTGAAGTCATAATGCTCAAAGTTATCTTAGTATGTTTTCTGAGAAAAGCTGTAAAAAACAGTATATGAAATAGGTATCACAACTCTAGTGATAATGATGTCCATTAGTGTGATTGAAAAAGAATATGCAGACTTCTCTACCGTGAAATAAAGATTAAAATGGTATGATTATGGCCCTTACCGGGTGGCTCAGTTGATTGGAGCATGGTCCTAAACACCAAAAAGTTTGCAGGTTCCATTCCTGGTCAGGGAACATTCTCAGGTTGCTGGTTTGATCCCCCATGGGGGTGCATATAGGAGGCAATTGATGTGTCTCTCTTTCTCTCAAATCAGTTTGTTTTTAAAGTATCCTCAGGTGAGAATTTTTTTTAAGATATAATTGTGCTTGGGTTAAATGCTAATGGACTCTCTTTGCTTTGTTTTAGCTCTCCGCATTAGAGAGGCAGATCTTTGATTTCCTTGGCTTCCAGTGGGCACCTATTCTTGGAAATTTTCTACATATAATAGTTGTCATATTGGGTTTGTTTGGAACCATTCAGTACAGACCTCGATATATCGTGGTGGTAAGTCTTATTTTTACCATGTCTCTTCGTATAAATACTACAAAATTTCTGTGAGAAGATGAATAAAATCATTTAAGTTGTTCCCTCCGCTGTGAGGTGGCACTGCGGTTCTGGCTGTCACACACTGAATTCTTTTGAGACGATTATCTGTGGAAAGGGCGACAGTGAATGTTTACAATGAGAGCAAAGCAACATGGCTGTAAATGTGAGACTCACAGTGTAACTAAATTCAAGTATCACAAGGAATTTTTTAAAATCTAAAATTGGGTTTGGGTAGAATAAGAGGTCTGTGGTGGAGCCTTGATGTCATTATGAGATGTAAATATGCACTAACTGTCATTTCAATTGACATGTGTCACCTATAAAGGTATCCTACCTAGCCATAACTGTTTGCCAACTGTAAACAATAACATAATATAATTTTAATTTCTTTAGGCCATTAAAATGCACGTACTAAAGGCCATTTAGTACTCACCTCTAATGTATTTTATATGGTATATTATTGACCATTTCTCCATTTGCTTAAGATAATGTGGAAGATGAATCCATACTCCAAACTATGCCAAACAGGATCAGCTACCCTCTATCATAGTACAATTTAACAAGGTGTATATTGTGGTCCACAATAAAATGGAAGTTATTCACAGTAATTATGAATAACTTTATAGTTTTCTATAAAAAGAAGGTAATATTTTAGGCTACAGATATAAGAAGGTTGTAAGAAATAACAAGCATAGATAAGTAATTATAAGTAGAAGTGTCATACTCTAAAATACTTATTGAGCCTGAATGAATAGACAGTATTCAGTAGAATTACTAAATATTTTTTGTAACTTAATAACATTACCTCATTAGGAGAAACCTTAGACTTAAAAATATGACATCTTTCAATTTTAGTATAATGCAGTCATATCTATAGAAAAGAATGAAGTCATAAAATTTTCTGTAAATGCATTAATTCTCTACTTTGAATCTCAAAATTGGATTTTTGGTGTCTTTCATCGTATCACAGAGGTGAAGGTCAGGGACTCACAGACAGACTCTGCCCTCAAAATGACTGCCCTGGGGCGCAAGGCATGATTGAAGTCACTCAGCTGGTTGTTGGGGCTACAGAGTTCCTGCTTCAGATTTCTCTGGGGGCCGGCCTGTGCTGAGCCATGGTGTAATGTACTAGAAAGCTGTTCTATGGAGTTGGATTTGCAGTATAAAATGCTTTCATATGCATAATATCAAACAATTATTGGACTTAATGTTCTAGTTTGTTGCTATGAACACAGAACACCTTTACTCATTATGAACTTCTTATTTTATGATGTTGATGGTCTGCTGAAGCACATGTCAGATGGCTAGAAAACCAGTGGTTTCCGTGGAATAAAGTTGTTGGTGTACATCAGTGACATTAACTGGCCTATTGCTTTCACCCGCTAACCATTAATTCTACACACTCTTCACACAGCCACTGTGTTAGTTGAGGCGTCGGCCTTCTCTCTCCTGCATATGGACTCCTCCCTTGCTTTCAGCCCTCCTCCTTTCCAGTGTGTTCTCAGCACTTTTACTGAAGCAGTTGCTTAAAAGCCTTCACTACCTCTCAACAGGATAAAATGTAAGAACATTCCTGGCTGACCCACTTGACCAAATTCAGGTCTCACAGTCAGTTTTTCTTTCTTTCCTCTTCCTTCTTTCATTCCTTCCTTCCTTCCCACTTTTCTCCCTCCCTTCTTCCCTTCTTTCTTTCTTAACTTCCCATTCAAACCTTATTTATTAGGTTTCTGCTGTGTGTTTGGCATTGCATTGGGTGTGGACTACATTGATGAGCAAACACAGACACAACTATTCTCTGTTCTCCTGGGTACTTACAGTCTAGTGAGGGGAAGTGGGCCTTTGTCAAGAAATCATCCACTTACATGATACATTATAATTGTGACAAGGAACACATGTACCATGAGATGCACACTGGGAACATCCATCTGACTCTGCAGAAGTAAATGCGGAGTGAGTGTGAGTTCGCCAAGAAAGAAGGGACTGGAGGGGGTTCTGGGCAGGAATCACTACAGGGCACATAGTGGGATGTCAGTAGCACTAGTTCCCATTCACTCATTAAGCCTTTATTGAGAACCTACTGTACTGTGATAGGTTGGACAAATAGAAAAGAATGTAAATGACAGTGGCCCTGCTCTCCAGGAACTCATTAAGTAAGCAGTGGGGAGGCACAGGTGCAGGGGGCTCTGGAGAATGAGAATGCAATGGGGCAGAAGCCGGGGGAGAGCGGGAGCCAGCCTCAGAGACGTGAAAGAGCAGACAATCTGTGCACATCAGCGTCCTGGACCCTCCATTCCTGCCTGAGCTCCAGCCTCTCACTCTTGAAGCTGTGTCTGGTGTTTGTGCCCAGCTCTAGCAGCATGTCCTCCCTCGCATGCACACTTCTTTCCACGCACTACTCGTGCCAACCACACTGAATGATTTGTTTTCCTAAGACCATATGCTGTTATGTGCCTCTTCCATTTGCACACACCTGGAATGCCCTACGCTCCTTACCCACTTGGGAAGTGGGTAATAATCCTTCAACTGAATGTCACCTCTTGCCACTTCCCCTCTGCTCTCTTAGATCCCGCAGCTCTTTCTATCCTAGCACTCTCCACAGTCACCATCCTTGCCTCTGGCCATCTCACCCCATCAACAGTGTTCTCCTGGCAGGCGGAGCATGCCTATTCACTGCTGTATTCTAGGTCTATCCCAGGATGCTTAATATTTGATCGTACAAATAACAAGTACATTAAGGGTTATTGGATGAAATGATGTTTGCAGGATGAACTAGAAAATGATCTCTAACTTCAGAACATGCCTGAGTTCAACAAGAAAATCTCACCTTACTCCCTTGCTTAGCACATTCTGAACTTGAGGATTCACATGAAAAATAGTATATGCTACTCTGCCTGCACCTACGTTGAGCTGACTTACTCCTCCACTTACCTTTTTCTAAGCATTAGAATGCCTTGGGCTCCTGCCACTGTGATTAAGGAGGTCCCACAGCAAAGACTATCAGAAAAATTCACCCAAATCACAAAATGAAAGAGCAGTAATTCCCCTTGGATACCGTCACTGCTGAAAAGGTCGAATTTGCTATTTATTTTTAGAACACAAAACAATGTTGTTATATGGTACTCTTTTACTGATTAAAATTTATTTTAGCTACAGTGCAAGGTAGACTATCTACAGTAGAGAATACAAGTTTAGTTGAAGAGCTTGTATGCACCTTTTGTGTTTCTTTAGCTCAAGACAAAATGGAGCTGAGTGTGGGTTGTGAAGCCCTATTTAGCAGTTTTAAAGTACTGTTCTAGAATCAGCTGTTTACCTCTGTTTACTCCTATTTCACATATTTAAAAATCTTACTTATGAATTCAAATATGAGATTCTGCCCTAGAATTATTTGGGTCATAATTCTGTGTGAAGGACGGCAAGTTGCTTTAATTTGAATTGTTATATAGGAAAAATTCACTATGTCATCATACATCTCCTTCCTGAGCTACTGCTCAACACGAGTTAAGAATGTTAGGTTTCCATTTAATTGGTGCCAGATTTAAATCCTCCTCCACCAATTATTGGCTGTGAAGACTTGGCACATTTATTTGCTTTCTTTGTAATATAGTTTATTTGTAAAAACCTGACTCAGAGTTGTTTGTAAGAATTATATAATGTTTGTGACTTGCTTAGCATAACCCAACAGAGTAAGTGCTTAGTAAGTAATTGAGCTATTTAATGTTTAATGTCTTCTTTTTTTTCCCTAAGCTATTGTACATATTTTATCTGATTGATACACATGAATGAATGAATGGGCTTTCTGGTAATTGGAAAACAAACAAGCTCAGGAAGTAAAAATAAATCATGTTATAGACTAATTGCTCAATGAGGATGAAATATAATGCAAACCTTTTAAAGTTCATTTCAATTAAAAATATTGAAATGTTTTCATAAAACTGGGAAATATTCACAGAGCACATAGAACACATGAAGTTTAGGAAAATCTTTATAGTCTTTATGTAAATTAGAACTTAAAATATGTGTACTAAATTTAAGCAAAGTAGGATAAATAAATAGGTAGATCAATGATAATTATACAGAGTGTTTTGTTTTTTTGCGTTTTGTTTTGTTTTTTTTACATTGGTAAGTTGTCTTGTGTATTGCAAGTGTATTTATCTAGATATGTAAGCATGTAGGCATGCTTCATGATAACCAAAGAGCATTTATTTAAAACGGAGTCTTATCTCTTTTTCTATTCTTCTTTGAATTGAATTATAAATAAAATAGTTCACATCAAACGAGGACATATGTTGTCCTAACACTTCCTGCCTAAGTAAATATTTATGGATGTATTTGTATTGCTAGAGATGTCTTTCCCTTTATCTCCATGTTAAGACTTGTGTCTCAGGTGCACATTGAGATATGCAGTTTTCATATCATTACAATCCAAAATTCAAACATACAATCTTTGTATCAGAAGAAACTTACATTATTGCTTTAAAAATGATGTTCATATCATACATGACATATTAATCACAAAATACAAAAGAAACCATCTTTCCAAAAACATTGCCAGTTATAGAGTATATATATACAAATGAAATAAATTTTTGGTAAACTAGTAATTTGGTGAATTGGTCACTTGATAAATTGTAAACTTTGATAAAGTGTTAACTCTCAAACTAATCTACAGACCTTTTCTTAAGATCTTTTATAATAAAGCCTATCATGTAATCCTGAAGCATCCCAGCTGCAGAGTTTCTATCTCAACAATAACACGAAGTCGTCAAATTATTCCCTCACTTCCTTGGTTGTAGTGTGATGACGGACTGAACTGATCAATGTGAAGTGCTGAGCACAGTACCAGTAACACAGAAAGCAGCAGAGTACTCACTCTTGTTATTAAGAATTTAGCAGCTGAGAGTGGGAGTCTGCTCATCCTGGGAATTTTCTCTCTGAAAGTTCAGAAGTGACCTCAGCAGTCCATCTGGTGAGGGGCCTGGAATGCACTTCAATCACTGCACTTGCGCTCTGATTTTTAAATAGATTTGCTCTATAATTCAGGTGTTATAACTGTTATGAGTAGATTGACTTTCCTAAAAGTATACTTATGAGTTGGGTTGGCAATCCCAAAAATTAAAAACCATATGGTTTTGCAATGAATTCCATTCGTTTCCTCCGTTAGTCTTGCTTCAGTTTATGTCCTTTCCTTAACCTTTATCTCCAGCTTTTTTCTCATTACTGAGTGGTCTGTAGTCTCTCTCATTCTAATATACTCATAATTAGATTGATTTAGGATGAAAAATATCAGATACCAGATGTCATCTTATTAGCAACAGCTTTAAAATTTATTGTTGTTACTGTGACTTGGCCAGTTTGCAAAAAGTATACATTGCTGATGTAGTTTAGCTATTTTCAATATTCTTGGGAATATTTTGTGGTTCAAAATGTATGTTTCAATGCATTTGGCCTATTTTTAAAAACTCAGTTCACTCATATTAAAAGATATTACTAACAGAAGATATCAGCAGAACATCAATGTACCTGCAAATACTAAAAGCTTTAATATATTTTAACTTACTTTAACTTTTTAACGTATTTTCCAGCTTTTCTAAATTTCCAGTCATTTGAAGTCTTAACTCATTATTATAATTGCATTATTTAAAACAAATAAGCAAAACCTATTCTCAGAAAGAAAAAAGATAATGAGATATCTAATGTAACCAATTATAAGACTACCCAACTATAGATTATTTTGAAAGCCTTTTGAAAGTCATAAATAACAGGAAGACATAAAGTGTAAATTAAATTTTATAAGTAACTAAAAGCTTCTGATAAGATTTCTAATAGGAACATGGCTATTTTATACAGAGTATACAATTTATATTATTTGACACAGAATAGAATAAGCTAATGAAAGGATTTCCATATTTATTTTAATTTGACAATAGCATGTAATGATTATAATCATTGATAGAAACCAATAATTTAATTACTTTGTCTTTTTAAGAAATTAAGAATTCATAGATTTTTGTGGTAAAATAAAATGAATGAGCAAACCACTGTAGCTGATCTGTTAATTGTGTTCCCATGGCAAGCACCAATTCTCAGCCATCCAAGCTGTTTTATATATCAGTTTTCTGGGCCTCAGTCTCTCCATCTACATAAGAAAATGACTGGATGAATTGAGCCCTGAGACCTCCTCCATTAATTCAGACTGATTAATACTCTTGAGGAAGGCATTTTCTAATACATACTACATTAACAAAACCAATTAATCAGTAAGGCTAGCATAGTTTGTTCAATGTGATTGGAAGGTATTTTTCCATTATGGAAATCTGTTGTTCATTTGCTCATTTTACTAGTAAATCCTATTTATTATTTCTGTGCTTTTAAAAGATATTTTACAGGCATGTAATTCTATGATTATAGTAGAGGCACACGTTTCACTCTTAATAAAATAGTATAACAAATGATGGTTTGTTAATTTTACTCCACACATCTATTTTCAAACATAATCCTCATTTAGAAAAATGGAAGTAATATTAGTCCATTTAGGAAGATGGACTAAAACATTCTAAAACTTGACAATTTAATATTATAACTAAAAAATGGAGAAATAGGTAGATAGCCACCAAAAATTTGCGTAATTGTGTTCCCTGGAAAAGCTAATATTCAGAAAACAGAAATCAAGTCAGCGCTTGGATTTAACCTATATCTGCAAGCCAGTAATGCACTTTAAAAATAAATCTAGCTTTATTGGCATCTACTGACGGCAGTGGAAACTATTGGATTTTTAATTTGTACAGATCTTAGGGGACCTCATAAGGAGCACTCTTTTCTGAGCACACCCTGTTTCTTCCCAGAAGAGTTAGGCTCATTGACATTTTGTTATTGATTGATTTGGTATATATGCCTTTCATCTCCACATTTTTCTTCTCTTTCTCCCCACCCTCCCCCTTTCTCTCTAGTATACAGTATGGACTGCCCTCTGGGTCACCTGGAATGTGTTCATTATCTGCTTTTATTTGGAAGTAGGTGGGCTCTCTAAGGTAAGTTTATCATGCTTTTAAAATACACTTTAAAAAGAGTATGCTAATAAATAATGATGATGACTATGTATTATGATGTATGCAGAGCAACCTAAGTAACATTACAAATGGAATACTAATAAAAAATGAGTGTGGATACCATTCAGGAAGAAATGATCTTGGGAGGGTTTCACGTAATGGAACTCCAAAGCAGCGGCGTCATGGCTTCGTTTGGTCAGCTGTAGTGGAACTCGGCTTCCAGTGAATCATGTTCACTTTAAAAAGGCCTAATGTGCCATATGCTTTCACTCATATATGGAATTTAATGAACAAACTGAACTACCAAGCAAAATAGACACAGATTCATAGGTAGAGAGTAGGCAGACAGCTCTGATGGGAGAGGGGTGTGTGTTGTGGGTATGAAGGGATTGAGAAGAAAAAGAGAGAACTAATGGACAGGGACAAGAGAGTGGTGATTGGTGGAAGGGGGAGTGGGAAGGTGGAAGAGGGCATAGAAAGATAAATGGTGATGGGAAAAATAAAATAAATGAAAAGACCGAATGTCACAATGACCACAGCACCAAATGTTAGTGAAAAAATGGCTTTGAATATTCTTCTTTTAAACTGGGAAAATAAATAAGATGTTAATGTAACAAATATGAATAGCAAGGTTCTATCTTTGTTTGAATACTAATCCTAAAAAAAGTTTTAAAAAAGTGTTTGACAAAGAATGAAATCCATAGATATTTAAGTGGAGCATACATTTAACTAATAGTTAAGTACATCAGTGTGGTGATCCCTATTTTGAAATCCTGATATGACAGAGGAGGTATCTTAATAAGGCATGATACAGATATTATTTCTAGATCTAGTATTAGCAGGCCACATGACTTTCATATGATTCTGCACTGTCTTTCACCTGCCACCCAAGTGCAAAAGCATCTTAGGTTAAGTTTCTAGTTGTGCTTCTTAAACATGTTTCTCACAAACCAGCACAGTTTTCTCTTGTAGAAATTGTAGAGAAGAAACTCAACAGTATAATTACAAAAGAATAAGAAAGCTGTAATTATATTTTTTAGGTTTTTCACTGTCAACTGTATTTGTGCTAACATAGGCTATTGCTTTATGATAGTATCAAATTTTCTAAGTAACATAATGGTCATCCACTAGCATTCATGTTTTGATCTGAGGAAATCTGCCTTGACCAACATGGATGCCTTTAGAATTGTTAGGCTCCGGTTGAAGTCCATCTGGTAACAAAGAATTTTTGATTGAGCCAAGCAGCAAAAATCCCCAAAGGATTTTCTCCAGAACCTCCAAAGGTGGCTACCCTTTGTTCCACATTATCATAACTTTATAATTAGAACTTGTCATCCTCTTCTCACATTGGCAAATGTACCAGGAACCAGAAATGACATTTCTAATTCTGAGTTCATACAAATTCACTAATATCTCCCTTTAATATTTATGCTATTAACTGCACTTCACCGCTAATTTCTAAGACAGAAAACAAAACCACTTAAATCAGTGCCCAGTTATCTTCTGTAACATGCAGATTAGAAAGCAGTTTTAAAATGCAAATCTTATGAATAATATATTTAGGAATAATAAGTTAAGCATAGCATTTTTCAACACAAAGCATTTTGTACCTAGTGATTTTGAAGTCATTTTAAATCATAATTTTATTTCACTGGGTAACAATTCCCTTTTATTTTCTTCCATATAAACTGATTTGGAGTAACTTAGACAGGGATTTTATCCTGTGGAATTGGCATCATAGTGTGTTGAAAGAAGACTCAATTTCAAATTATAAGTCTTTTTTTCAATCTTGTCTTTAGCACTTATTAACTATGGGCCCTTAGGCAAATCGTTTAACCCCACTGAGTCTCTGTGGAATATAAAAACAGGAGCAGCTTTGCCAGTTGGGATAGTAAATATGATTGTTGGGGTTTTAGCATTGCTTTAAGGGTATCAGATGAGGTAACTCAGGTAAGCTTCCAAGCAACTCTGTGAAAGAATAAAAAAAATAATAATGATGATGCCATTCATTTGCTCCACACAAGTCTGATTTTCCTCCTCTGCTCCAAGTTACTTTTATGGACGGTCTTTCTAATATCAGTGTACATGCGAGGGTGTTTTTTTCTCATTTCTTTGGGTGCAAGGTTATAAAAAATGGATATGTAGTCTTGGTTACTCATTACATTACCACTAAAATGCTATTAAGTAGTCAGTCAATTATTCTAGGTCATTAAGAGGATAGATAACTCCAGAGGAGCATCCTAATGATTTTCTGTTGGTTTCTTTCTATTTACCACCTCTAAGGCTAGTAACATTTCCCTGGTTCAACAGTGTAGCCTCAATTGCAATCCGTAGTAAATCTATTCTGAAAAATAGAGCAGAGCTAAGGACCCAGACAAACCCAACTACCTCTGCCACCCGCCTAGGTTGGGTTTTGTAAGACATTCCTTGTCCATTTGTGCTGGTTTGTATACTAACTTTCTAGAGTTCTCCATTTCCTGCTAGTTCATGAACACACTTCTTAGAATTACCCTTTAAGAAATAGAAGACATTAATAGAAGTCACCTTCACTGACTGGCTTATTTCGATTAGCATAATGCTCTCCAGTTCCATCCATGCTGTTGCAAATGGTAAGAATTCCTTCTTTTTTACAGCAGCATAGTATTTTATTGTGTAGATGTACCACAGGGGGAAAAAAAGAAGAAGAAGTTTCCTTATACCTTGATTATTGCCCAAAATATTTACTCTAAAATAGTGAATCTTTCTCCTAAAACTGGATTCAGGTTAGTTTCCACAACATCTCTATGAATCTTAATGTTACTCCAATGGCAGGCACTACCAAACCATTCTTATTAACTGAAAGTATGCATCCTTATGGGCATGAACAAGCATACATCTGGTCTATTATGGGATTTATCGTAGCCTCCAGGTTTTCCCTTTGCTGTCATCTCGTCTGCCAACCAGCTCTACCTCGTTTGTTTGTTACTATGATCTTGAGTGTCCTGATTCATTTCCAGAACCTGAAGAAAATGAATGTATTGTTCAATGTACATGTATGGTGGGGTCAGGATGACTATGGGTAGGTAACGGAAGATTACTTCCATAATCTACTGAAACCTCAGTTTTCTTTTTTGAAAAATGAGGAAAACCATGACACTGATTTTACTGAATTGTTGGAATTCAATAAAGTGTATGTGACTTAGGGTGTTGGCATATTATGATGTTTCAGTAAATGGTGGTTTTTATCTTTGCCATCGGCATCATCATCTCTATTATTGTTGAAAAATTAACAAACATCACAAGCTTCATCCTGAAAACCTTTGAGACATGTATCTATTAATACGCAAGAGCTGTAAAAGGGAATAATGAGGGGCTGTGTGACTTGTTTTAAAAAAGATGTAACAGTCCCTTGTGATGGGACCTCGGATCTGCATATTAACTTCACAGCTGTAACACTATTAATTAAACCCTTTCCTTCAACATGTACATAGCTGTGTTGAAAAACTTCTACATCTAGATTCCCCTCGTGTCAAGGGAACCGTATGCATCTTTAGAAGTCCCTAAGGCTGTTTTCCATGCCACACTTTAAGATCACCAAGGGCACAATTAATAAGTTATTGCTGCTCCTTTGGAAGTTGTAAGAATTGGAATAATTTTTCTCTCCCTAGGAATACATTCAGAATGTAAATATATGAAAACTCACCTCGCTTGCTACATTTAAAGATACAGAAAAATGTGATGTTGAGAACCCAAGTTGTACTTTTTTTTATTTTATTTTAAAGGACTGTAGCTGTCATCTTAGGGCATCTTTTTGATGACTCCAAATTGTAGGAACTTTAGGCTAATATTCCTTCTAATTGGTTTTTCTGGAAAGATGTGTGGAACTTACACATTACGGACCTAGAGGATGTTCAGTGTGGCACATACACATAGAATTCAGAATGTGTATGGCTATACATGAGCATAACTTAGACATAAAAAGAAGGTAAAGAAATTCTAGGAAGATTTATTTATCTTATACTAACTGTGAGCTTTGATTAGAAGCCTTCTAGAAACTTCCAGGCAGGGCATGGAGGAGGGGATGGACTAGCCTTTACAGACTTCCCACTCTGGGCAGGTGCTTTGCATTGCCTTCACACACATGGAAAACCGACCTGCATTTGTTTCTCTTTGTCATGTTTTAACGACTGCATTTTTCTCATAGCGACCTGATTTGTGGGTGTTTTGATTCTTAAATAAGGTTAAACCATTTCTCCAAATGCCAATAATGGCACTTCTTTTGTTCTCTGGCTCAAATTGACCCCGTGGTTCATGAGGGTCTCTTCTCTTGAGAGAATCTTTAGTTGAATATTTCACCTGCACAGCCAGACAGGGTCATTGGGATAATTCTTTTTCAAGGTTCATTCTTATTACCTAGCCAGAATTGTTCCTCCGTACTTACTGTGAAAATCGTCTTCCCTGATCAAGATTCATTTCCTTCAAGGTTGGATTCTTCCACTAACTTTGGCATTGGGCAGGTCCTTTCAAGTAGGAAAGTTCCAGACCATCAATTCAGAGTTCTCCACAGAAGCAATTGCACAGGAAGCGGGGCTCTCAGCTCCCCTGAGCCGGGTGCTATCCATCTATTATTTTTATAAACATTCTAATAGTTTTGTGTCTCAAAGAATTCTTTTTCTGATGGCAGTTTCAAACTAAATCGATGATATATAGTATACTTCTTTTCTTTATTTAAACAAATAAAACTTACTGCATCTAGTAATGAGTTCTAAACTTAAATTTATCTTTTCCTTTGCATGATTTCTTTCTATGTGATCATTTTTCAAAAGGAATCTTGAAATGTGATGTTTACAGAGGGCTAAGCTAGCTACAAAGCATCTTTATTCAGGAATAACAAATCAGCAAATGATTCAGAAAAGCGTCGTAGAAACCCAGAAAAACTATACTTACTTTCAGCCCTGGTCTGTTGGCTCAGTTGGTTGGAGTGTCATCCCGTGCAGCAAAGG